ACACAAAGCAAGCAGGGCTTACATGGCTTTGGTTCATAATTCTAGGAGAAAAGATAAAGTCCAAATGGAGGGAAATTTTTGTCTCTGGCTCAGAGATTCTCTGGCCTTCTTTTTGCAGAAGAAAAGTTGCAGAAATTATTCAGAAACCCCAGACATGCAGACTTCTCAGTCCATACCACAAAACACACTTCCAAATCACATTAAGCAGCTGTTCAACTATCTGCAGTGGAGCAAACCCATAACAGGACAAGGCAGTCTAATATTATACCCACAGATATGGGTATGTTTTGGGCATAGCAGCCTTTATTTTTTGGTCCTTCTCAGGTCTAGGGTAATATAGAAATGGAGTCTAGAAAAGGCTTCAGTTTTTATCCCAAGTGGGCAATACGTTTGCACTATGTAGAAGAAAAAGAGAGAAGTACTCCTAACTTCAGAGATCATCTTTTTAAAGTCATGGCCATGTAAGGAATGTGCTAATCACCCTGCTGTTTCTACCACTTCTAAGGGCACTTTGGGGTCATTTTACTGCATAAAGAAGTTATACGCTAGAAAATAAAACACTGAAAGAAAGACACATCAACTCTATTTTTCAGATGATCTATTATCACCAACTGATTTTTGTTTGGTCTATACAGACAATAATTCTCAAATACTGACAACTATCCCAGTTAATAAATTTAAAAGAAAGCTCTTATGTTGCAAGAACACCAAACAGTTCATATTTTCATCTGAAGTTTACAATTTGGAACTGAAAAGTTATACCATGTTACAAGTAACTCTTAAAAGTAATAAAACAGCGATATACTGGGGGTAAAAAACATCTTCCTCTCAGTTTTCTTCCAGTTTGCCTATTTTGTAAAGGGAACAACAACAACAAACATAACCCAGCTCTAAACCTATTCCTGTGATGAACATGGACACTCAAGAGACCAATATCTCAAGCCCATGCCATTTTCTGATGGCAAGTACGTACCAGGGATAATATTGTGTTGAAGGCAGTGTTAGCCCAGAGGTGCTGGAGCATTAACACCTGCACGCAGACCAGCTGTACATTTCTCCAACCAGGACAGTGTTCTGGCAAAATCAGTTCTACATACATCATACTCATGCACTGCTCTAGTGGAAGCTCATTTAGATTAACTTTCCCTGGTTCAGCATGGTAAACCTAACCAATAAGTGCAAATTTAAACAGAACTATAAAGGAAACAGACACTCAAGTTATCTATTATTCCCAATCCTCTCCTCAAAAGTAAAGTCTCCAAAAATATTACAACGAAGAACTCTATATAGTCTTAAAGCTTGAGGATATAATATTTAAATAGTATATATCATCTGCTGTTTTATTCCACCTAATAAAAAAATCTGTAATGCATGTAATTTTAATGAAAAGCTTACTTTTTAAAATAACAACAAATTGTGCACTTTATACCAACTCTGCCTCTTCAGTTTTTCCCAGCAATAATGCATACCTACTGAAAGACTGCCTTTTTGATCTGTTGAAAAAACTCTTACAACTCTTTTATCATAAAACTCAAGGCACTGTTCCAGATGCAAAAACCTTGAAAATGTCACGTAAGGGCACAAAAGACTGATTCACTGTGGGTGACAATTCAAGCTCTGCCTCTTGGGGTGCAGAACACCACTTATTAATCTCCAAAATAATTTTCAATAAAGAAGCTCACGCATTTTCTCGGATAACTGTTACACACACCCATTTCTGTACAGCATATGTGATGTTTTCTTGGTCTCTTTTACAGTTCTAATCCCCACACATCCCTGATCATATATATCAGCAAAAAGAATGAACGATGGGCTAGTCTTCTCACAATGGTGAAGAATATATGAATAGTATTAACTTCACAGCAAGGAAATCATCTACACATATATAGTGCTACAAACTTCTATTTATCTGAACAAGTGTCGTTAATCATTAATGTATCAGCGGTATAGGCAGATGTGGTTTCTTTCAGAGATACACAGCCAAACACAGTAACCTCTGACAAATAAAATTCCCAGCAAAATCTAGGCCTTTGGCACAGAATGAAAATTGTCACTGATGTGTTTTTTGTATTTTTAGCAACAGTTTATCTGAGTAAACACTGAAAGATTTAACCCAAGGCCAGCAAGCCAGATGCAGAGCAAATTTAGCCCTTTGTCTCTATATCTGTGTGCATACCACTGATACATAAAACTTCATCATTTCAGAAAACACGTAAGGGTGTTACCTTTCTGGACGTGGATGATGTCTGGAAAATTGGCCAAATGCCCCTGATACAGCGCTAACAAATCCATCACAGCATCTAGGTCCTGCCGGGGCTGATCTGCAAAGAGGTCCCCGATAGTGTCATAGGCTTCTGCGGTGAAGGCTATGGCTTGGTTGAGGCCAGCTGAAAAGGCCTGCTGGTCCAGCTCAAATGCCTGACTGAGGCACTTAAAGGAGTGCCCCACCTTCTGGTATTCCTTCTTGAAACCAGTGACTTGTTTGCGGGCAAACTCGTTGGCAGTGTGATTAAGCTGCAGGGCACTCTCATCCATCTTCTTCGTGAAGGCTTTGAAGCCATCCACCTGGCTTTCCACCTCCTGCAAGTCCAGGCTGGCCCCAGGGCCCGTGGGGACACTGATGGTCAGGAAAAAGTTGGCACCCACCATCTCATCCTTCTCAGCCTTGCGCTTGCCTTGTTTCCAGGCCTTCTCATCCGTGCTGGGACAGGTGAGGAAGTGCTGGAAGGCATCGCACTGAGCCAGCACAGGGTGGCTGCACATGTGGTCCATCCACCAGGCCAGGCCTTTGCGACGTTTGGAGATGAAGTCCTCCTC